CGGCCAGGAGAGTCCATGGGACTGAAGGGAGCCCTTGTTTTCAGTGAACGAAAGGAGAGGCAGCTCTCTTAACACGCCTGTTAATCCGTGACTTGATTTTTTTTCTCTCTCTCTCTTTTTTTTTAATGTTGATTCCAGATTTATCAGCCGCTCGATGGGGATTCGCATCTCTTCTTCACCTTTGTGTAGCCAGCAGAACGACTTCAGCACCTCTTCGTTTCTCATTATGAAACTGGTATTAACTGAATGGCAATTATGGATTTTTAACTCTAAATCCCAGTAAGCAAAAAAAAAAAAAAAAGAACCACCCCACAACAACAACCACAACAACAAAAGGAAGCCCGCCAAGCCATATGTTGGGAAAAAAATCCTTTCTTTCTACCAAATAAGTTTGGATGTTCCTCTACGAATGTTGGAAAAGCCTTTGTGAAGATTCGATGCCAAACCCCCCCAACCCCGTTTTGCTCCTGAGGGAAATTACAAATATTTGCTTGCGCACAAGGAACGGGATGCCATGAGGAACAGCGGAAGGCACCCTAATTTATTGCAAGAGATGACAGAATTATTTATATAGAGATTTTTTTAAAAAACAAAACAAAAAAAAAGGAGAAATTTTTTTAAAATCTATATATAGAGATAATAGATATATAGATATAGATATACAAAAATATATATTGTATTTTTTATGGTGATGAAAATGGCTCCCCAGAATGCTGACTCAGAATCTATGCAAGTCCAAGAGCTTCCGGGCGTTCAGCTCCAGAAACCGGAAAAAGAGCGCGAGAGCAAAGAAGAGACGATTAGCGAAGGATCCATAGACCGTATCCCGGTACGGCTATGGGTGATGCACGGCGCCGTCATGTTTGGCAGGGAATTTTGCTACGCGATGGAGACAGCTTTGGTGACACCGGTATTGTTACAAATTGGTAAGTCAAAATGTGCCGGGCCTCCATAGGGAGATGGTGGCTGTCTTGAACGTGGTGGTTTGCTTGGCAGACATTTCATTACCTGTCTAGGAAACATCATCAGTGCTAGAAGGGAGTGAGGTTGGCCTCAAGGTCCTCGGGGTCACCTGAGTAGTGCAAATATGTTGAGTCTCTAGAAAAAGTGCAGAGAAGAGCAACCAGGATGATTAGGGGACTGGAAACTAAACATATGAAAAACGGTTGCAGGAACTGGGCCTGGCTAGTCTAGTGAAGAGAAGGACCAGGGGAGACAGGATAGCGGTCTTCCAATATTTGAGGGGCTGCCACAGAGAGGAGGGGGTTCAAGCTATTTTCCAAAGCTCCTGTAGGCCAGACAAGGAATAATGGATGGAAACTGAACAAGGAGAGATTTAACCTGGAAACAAGGAGAAACTTTCTGACAGTGAGAACAATCAACCAATGGAACAGGAGTTGCCCTCAGAAGTTGTGGGAGCTTCATCACTTGAGAGTTTCAAGAAGAGATTGGACTGCCATTTGTCAGAAATGGTGTAGGGTCTCCCAATTGGGCAGGGGGTTGGACTAGATGACCTACAAGATCCTTTCCAACTCTGATTATCTGTTATCTGTTAAATGGTTCCTGTAGTCTGCAGTTTTCCTCTGGAAATCCATTCCTACTCCCACACCATTCCAAGGGTGTTCATCCCAAAGTGTATAGCTAAAAGTCTATGGAGATTCTCCGCCATCCAGCTCAGGGTTGTCCCAAAGGTGCTTTTTCCAGAGGCAACTGGACTTTCTGGGTTGTTGGTTTTTTGGAGGCGGGGGAAGGAGACAGAGTTGATCCTTCAGGGCTGCCCCGTGTCTTACTCCAAACCTTACTCAATTATCTAAATTAGCTCTGCAGCAGATGGTATTTTGGTTTTTATCTGCCTGGATAGGAGATAAAAGCGTTTTTGCTAAATGGGCCTCAGTCAGCTCATCGCCTGCCTAACCAACCCCACACAGCGTCGCTTAAGATAAGGATCTCACTCCGTTCCAGCTCTTTTAAGACAAGGGTGAAAAGCCTTTGGCAAAGTTTCTGATTTAAACTGGGTCAAGGAAGTTGGCTGCAAGGAACTGTAGGCGGTCCTCGGCTTAGTGACCGCAATTGAGCCCAAAGTTCCTGTCGTTATGTGAGACATTCGTTCAGTGGAGGGTTGGCCCCATTTTACGACCGTCCTTGCCTGAACTGTTCTTCAGTGAATCCTTGCCATCGATGAAGTGATTGTTAGTAACCCGGTCATTAAGTGCATCGGGCTTCCCCTCTGGACTGTGCTTGTTGGAAGGTCGCAAAAGGGGACCGCGTGACCCTGGGACACTGCAACGGTCATAAGTATGAACCAGCGGCCAAGCGTCTGAATTTGGATCATGGTGGTCATGGGGATGCCGCAAAGGTCGTAACTGTGAAAAACGGTCATAAGTCATATTTTTCAGGGCCGTTGTAACTTTGAACAGTCACTAAACAAACTGTTGTAAATCGAGGACTGCTGCACAAAGCTTCCCCAGTTACCTTCATGCAGGGCAGGTTGGGAATTTAACGCTAACACTCAAAAAAATGGATTTGGCCTGAGCTGGAAGCCCCAGTGGTCAATGCACCTGAAAATCCTATCGTAAATTGATCTCCTAATTGAAGGTGGATTGGAAAGCCGATGATGTAGGTCTGTGGAGATCCTCCATCACCCAGTCATGATTCTCCCAAAGGTGCTTTTCTTCAAGAGGCAACTGGACTTTCTGGATTTTCTTTGAAGATGTTTCCCTTTTCATCCAAGAAGCTTCTTCAACTCTGACTGGATGATGGGGAATGGAAGGATTGATACTCCTTTTAGACAGCTGGTCATTTGCATCTTTTTAGAGTCCTTGAGGCCACTTGGAGGTTTATCTGTAGTAGTAGTGGTAGTGAAAATGGGTTTTATCCACACCCACTTGCACTACTCAGGTGACCCTTCAGGACGCAGATAAACCTCCAAGGGTCACCTGAGTAGTGCAAATGGGTATGGATAAAACCCCTTTCCACTGTTAGCACAGATAAACCTCCAAGTAGCCTTAATGACCCTCAAAAAGGATGCCAATGACCAGCTTTGTCCACAAGGAATATAAATCCTTCCATTCCGCACCATCCTTTTATTGAAGAAGCTTCTTGGACGAGAAGCGAAACATCTTCAAAGCAAAATCCAGAAAGTCCAGTTGCCTCTTGGCTAAACATAAGACGATGTAGGCTGTGTGGAAACTTCAGCTGCTTTTTGCTAAGTCATGTCAAGCACCGAGGAGGTAAACAGCGGGCGGCAAAGTTTGCAAAACGTCAGCAAATAAGGAGCTTAGCTTGCGAAACGCTCAGCCTGGGGAAGAGACTCCACGGGGAAGTAATTCAGCTTGGAAATCTCTAAGATGTTCCCTTGGAGCTGGTGAGGTCTGTCCTGCCCTGACATGTCTATGAAGCCCGGGGGGGGGGGGGGGGGGGGGGGGGGGGGGGCTGCCTTGCTCCAAAGGAATTTTCCTGCAACCAAGAAAATGCTGGTTCCAGACCTCCAAAAGGAGGTCATTTTCAGGAATGGGGCGATGAAAGTGCCAGAGTTCATGAGACTCGTCCTCCTTGAAGAAAGCCAGCTTCTAGTTGTAGATCTAACCTAGAATTAAGGAGAAATTTAATCTAGAATAAGGAGAAATGGACCCAGAACTAAAGAGAAATTTCCTGACAGTTAGAACAAGTTGTCGGCGGAATGACTCACCTCCAGAAGTTGTGGGTGTTCCTCCATCAGTGGAAAAAATTTTAAGAAGAGATTGGGCAACCATTTGTCTGAAATGGCATAAGGTTCCACCCTCTGGTGCTTTGGAAAATAAGCTGACCCCCCTCCTCTTTGTGGCAGCCCCTCAAATACTGGAATATTGCTATCATGTGCCCCCTGATCCTTTTTTTCTCTAGACTAGCCAAATCCAAATCCTGCAACCGTTCTTCATATGTTTTAGTCTCAAGGGCTTTAGTCATCTTAGTTTGCTCTTCTCTACACATTTTCCAAAATCTTGACATCTTTTTTGTAATGTGGTGACCAAAACTGGATGCCGTATTCCAGGTGTGGTCCTTACTAAGGCTTTATAAAGCTGTACTAATACTTCACATGATTTTGATTCTCTGCCTCTGTTTAATACGACCAAGGATTGTATTAGCTTTTCGAGCTGCCGCCACACACTGCTGGCTGCTTTTTGTAAAACCATCAGATTTCCATTCTGAATTTTGTAACACCATCAGATTTCCCTTCTAAATGTTGTAAAATCATCAGATTTCCATTCTGAATTTTGTAAAAGCATCAAATTTCTCTTCTGAATGTTGTAAAATCATCCGATTTCCATTCTGAATTTTGTAAAAGCATCCGATTTCCATTCTAAATCTTGTAAAATCATCTGATTTCCTTTCTGAATTTTGGGAAGCCATCTGATTTTCCTTCTGAATTTTGGGAAGCCATCCGATTTTCCTTCTGAATTTTGGGAAGCCATCCGATTTTCCTTCTGAATTTTGGGAAGCCGTCAGATTTCCAATCTGGGTGTGGACAACAAAGGTCCAGGTGCTGGCGAAAGAGACAAAGACTCAACTCTGACGCAACTGAAGCCGTTACTTAATCTTCCCAAATGCTTCTGGGTTCCTTTCCAACTAGCCTCTCTTACTCTTCTTAACCTGAAAGCTGATTAAAGGTCTCAATTAGATCATCGGCTGGTTTTATGTGGGCATTTGAATGCATGGCACATGCACGTGACGGTTGAGCTAATTGCAAAGAAAATATATCGTCCACGTTATTCAGAAGTGGCATGGTAGAATTCTTGTGTTCTCCGGGGTGAGAAAAGCAGGTATTTCAAGCGGCTGGCCTTTATTTATTTTTAAGCCTTAAATCACTCCAGTGGAGTGGACCAACTGGTTTTCTGATGATCAGTTTTGCAAAGGCACTCCCCGCCAAACAGTTATAAGGGAACAACATGATGTAATTTTGTTTAGTTGACTTTGAAAGCCCACCCACACACCGAGAAACCTTGGGTGGCTTTCCAAGCGTTAAAAACATCACCCGGGCAAAATATTAAAAAAATGCATTCCTTCTCTGTTAAAAAAAAAACCAAGTAAACAACACCGTGGGCAGATGACTCTAAATTCTATTTTCTCTGACAGGTAGTCCTTGACTTACGACCACAATTGAGCCCAAAATTTATGTTTGCTCTGTGAGATGTTTGCTAAGGGAGATTCGCCCCCATTTTATGACCTTTCTTGCCACAGTGGTTAAGTGACTCATTCAGTGGTGGGATTAAATAAATTTACTACCGGTTCTGTGGGTGTGGCTTGGTGGGCGTGGCAGGGGAAGGATACTGCAAAATCCCCATTCCCTCCCCACTCCAGGGGAAGGTTCCTGCGAACGAACGGCCTCCACTCACACGTGTGGAGCTTTGCACGTGAGCCCAGGCTCACTTGCCTGCCACTCACACGAGTGGAGCTTCCCACAGGCACACTCATTATCTCTCCTACAGCCCAGTTACAACCAGGCCGCAGCCCCGATAGTGGGCTGTGGCTCAGTGGTTGGGGACCCCTCGACTAGAAAACCTCAAAATATTCAAAAATAAAGGAATCTGTGGGACAACACAGGGAGCCCCCAAGGAGTAAGTTTCCCAAACCCCACAGCATTGGACCCTGTGTGAGAATAAGCTCAAATTTGGCTGCTTAAAATTGTAGTCCTGCCTCCTTGTTTGTATTCTATATGCCAGGCCTTGCCAACCAGCTCTTTTGTGATTTCGGTGCCGTGCAAAGTTTGGCAGGGTCTGGATGCCTGCAAATCTCTTTTTGTCACTTTTTATGGCTGCCATTTTTCTTGTCCCCTTGATGTGGAAAAGGCGCTTTTGAGTGGTTCGAGGTGGGCCATGAGCCTCTGTCTTTCTCACAGCTAGCAACTCGGGTACTTCACCTTTATGTCCTCTGCAATTCTTCCTCAGAA